AAAAATGTGTCAAACACTATACAAAAAACACCGGCTATCCCTATAGTTACGGTCAAAGTTAGGTGGTGCAACTCAGCCTAAGACTACTATTAGTTGCTGACTTGATTCAGTTGCATTGATGCCACAGTTTTTTATTTACTTTGACGTCCCTCAATGGCGATTAGTAGCTAACATATAAACATGTAAGGAAATATAATGTCTTCAAGTACAAGTATAGAATATGCTCTTGGTCATCACAAACATATTTTCCGCTGTTGAGATTCGAACCCCACGCCTTTAGCTGCACACTATGTATTTCTGAAACGTATTTTATTCATCTAGTTAATAGGTATAAACACAAACAAACCCAGACAGGTTACGCATTGTCTAAAACAATAATGAATGTCAACATCATTTCTTTAGCCAAACAATAGAATGTTAAACAAACTACCACTTAATTTATTACATGTAGTCAAGGGCAAGGAAAAGGAAAAAGTCGCAAATTGAGAGTTTTGGAAATCTTCTTTGTTTGATAAAATCATTGTTAAAGTTTGTTCCAATCTGGTCCTTGGACCGTAGATCACACCTACACTATTTTTCTGCCATCATTAGGTCATTAAAATTTAGTCTGCACCTCAGGAACTCTACCCAAAACCAGAGGCAATTGGAGAATTTGGCATAGTACACTCCCCACGCTCCTGGTCAGACTGAGATTACCTTTAGACCATTTCGTAGCCAGCTACGAAAGGCTACGAATTTACGAAATGGTTCAAAGGGAATAGTTTTCAATACTAAGGGTTCTTTCAACTTTCAAATTAGACGTTATGAAGAGGATGTCAGACAGTCGTCCGTTTGCAAAACCGCCCATTCTGTTGCTAGATGACAAAATCTCAATTATTTGTCCGTCAGACAGATAATTAGAAAATATTAGACTCGTGTTTTTTATTTTCTTTCTTAATTAACTAATAACAGTGCTACATCGACTTGGAATAGAATTTCGGTTTCATTTACCAGTCATCATCCCAATTGACTGTCATTTTTATTCCAACGCAGTTGTCAAACAATTTTCAGTGTGCGGTCCTACAAACGGGCGATAAACGTCCGTCTCAAAACGTCTAATTTGAAAGAGCTCTAAGATTGAACCAGATCAAAATTGAGAAACTGTTTCATCACAGTCCACGATCCGAGTCTGACTATAGTCCTTATTTAACCTTTAACTGGTGACAAGCGGTCTCACAGGCCGGGCGGCGTCAGTGAAACATCGTTTCACCCCCTTCCCCGTTCTTCCTATGTTTCACCGCTTCAGTAGCTTCGATTTTAGTTGCATCTACGCCGTAGAGAAGAATATTTGCATCATTCAGCTCCAAATCGGCAAGTTACAACGATGTAAAGTTCAGCAGCGGTCTCTCAGACCGCATGTCACCAGTTATGTAACATTTTTTCCATACAGTTTTTTCGTATTTTTACAGTTTTTAGTTGTAATTGATATTTAGGTATATACCTCCAAAAAGAGGCGTAGGGTCATTAGTTGGGAATATAGTGCCATACTTTATGAAACGACTTGAAAATTCTGAAGTTGAAAAATATCTGGAACAGGAAGACTCAAGTGAGTCGGAAGCCGAATATATTCCTGAAAACATCGTCCTGGAGCATAAAATGATAGGTTACCTACATGTGATTAGGTTTTTTAAATTGATTAATATTTGAACTATAATAAAAAATACTACTTTTGTTATAATTTGTTGTTTTAAATTTATTTGTTTGTGATTATCGATCTCATCTCTAGTTTTTTGATTTTTGATACTACATATTATTTAACAGCAAGTTCTGCATTAAAAATTATATTTAAAGTTTATTATTTTAGTTTCATTTTATTCTTCTATATGCTAAAAAACTGTTTTTAAAAATTGCGGTATGCTACCTTACCTAGTTTCTATGCTATATACCTGATACGGTAGCGGCCTCTCAGACCGCACGTCACCAGTTACGTTACACAAAAACCATGTCACCAGTTAAAGGTTAAGTAGATAATCGCGCATTAAAGTGAACGGAAGCCGAGTGGTCGCGTCAAATGGTCAGAGGTCGTCGGAATGCGAGCATTATTGTCCAATATGTTTCAACTATGCGGACTGTGAATGTACAATTTAAACATTATTGTATGTTGTACACAGTTTATCAAAGGGTTAAGTTGGCCGTGTTTTACCAGCATGATTCCAAAACAAGTGTAATATGAAGAATTTTAAAATTAACTAAAGCTATGAGACTTTGTAGTTCGTTTCAACCTAATGCCATCCACAGCTGGACAAAGGCCTCCACTACGGATACTCCAAAACCCAGGAGCTGCTCCTCATTCAGGTGCTTACCTTCAGCAGATCGTCAGTCTACCGAGCGGGACAATTAAAGGGTTTCAATCTTCTTCAGTTAGATGCGTATTTATTTGTTGTTTTCTTAGTTTTGAGGCAACATAAAAAGGTAATGTATGAAAGCGTATAAAATTACTAATATAAGTATGAAAAGCTTTACTTTTGAATAAAACTCATAAATTTATCCCTTGTTATGAGCGCACTTTATTGTGGTATAAAAGTGATTTAACGATATTCTTGCTCGCATGAAAAGGGCATAAAGCAGAGGTAATTTAAGTACTCAGTCAATATTCTCACCTGGAAGTGCCTAATAAAACAGAAAATCTGAAACAAAGGAATCTTGCAAAATATTACAATTCATAGCAATAGTCCAGGATATTTTAATTCAAAGTATAGATCGATTCATCCACGAAGACGCGCCCCACCAATTTTTGGTTGAGGGAAGCTCTGGGTGCGGGGAGTTTGATCCGAGCAATCCGAGCGTCATTATTGTAGTGTGCGTGTGCATTCATTAATAAATTAGCCTGTACCGATAACACTCAAACATTAGCGGAAGGATGGTGGGGCGCGTCTTCGTGTATGAAACGATCTATATCTTTACTTAGACCTGTCAAAAAATGAGCAAGCAAATACAATCTGTGGGTATTTATGACTGGTCATTTGTCTTCGTAGTCCAGTGCTTTATATTCATCATCATCGTCATGTCAGCCATAGGACGTCCACTGCTGAACATAGGCCTCCCCTAATGCTTTCCACGTTGATCGATTGGTAGCGGCCTGCATCCAGCGCTTCCCTACTACCTTTACGATGTCGTCGGTCCACCTTCTAGGTGGACGTCCCACGCTGCGCCTTCCGGCTTTATATTCGATGACCTGAATTCGATTTTCAGAATGCTTCAGGGTTTAGGTTATACCATTATTGGTCCGATTGACCCATGTCATACATCAATGGCGTCTCATGATGTCAGACACCAGGGTTGTGACTTCAGTTTTTAGATACAACCCACAGAAAAAACTTCCACGTGTCATCAATCCGACGAAGCGTCAAATAAGCTGCAAAAACAAATGCAATTCAAAATGAATATTTAAACTCCACTGTAATTACGATGGCAGGTTAGTTTGCTATTAATCAATTTACCTGTTCACCCCGCGTGACTGAAACCTGGTAATGAACAACAAATAATCGACTAAATGACAGCGCAGTTTTTCAGCAAGTAATATGTGCACGTTGACAGCCAATTATGGGCACCAAAACTGTGAAACACAATTTAAATGTCAAACTTTTGGCTGGTGTGCTGTTTTGAACCAGCTACCTTAGATGGAGTTATTTTTTGTACGGTTTTTATATTGAAACCATTTCATACTGGTATAGAATACGAGTACTTTTAGTAAAACATTTTTTAATTTGTCCTATTTGTGTTCGATTACCAAATAATGTAGAAAATAAAGGTTTATCTGACTTTCTTCTATTCAATGTGTCTCATAATTAATGGATAAACAATTAATCTGCTTTTCCTGTTTCACATCATCAATAAAATCTATAATAAATTAATTAACTACGCAATAACATAATATCTCATACATCTATTAAAATTAATTAATAACATTATTGTAGGTCAATGCTAAAAGTAGCAGTGCAAGAAATCAGTCACTATTGGCACCTTTTTAAACAAAGTCAAATAAAATATTATAAAAACATGTTAATTTTTTTTTTCTAAGTTGCCAGTACTTATTATTATTCTGTGGTATAATATAATATCCATAATCCAATTCACTAATATTTTTATAATAATATTATAGCACATTTCTGACAAGAAAGACCTACAATCTGCCTATAATTTATATTTACAATGCATTTCTTAGTAAAACACGTAGTGGTAGTAAAAGATGATTCTGCATACTCGTGCGAAATTAATAACATGTCTACTACTATAATTATGGCCTCGCATGACTTGTAAAATGTCCAATTTTTCACGTACCTACCTATTATTTAGAGTTGTAGGTAGCTAAAAAAACAAACACGCATCATTTGAAAAATACAGCCTCATAATTTTAAACTATTAAATAAATACCTACACGATTTTAATCATAATTTGTAGGCTGGCGTAACTCATTGAATAAATAATATTTACAAAAAATAAAGGGTACCTTATATTAACAATTGCTTAAAAAATATACATTTTCTTCAGCTTCTAATAAAAAAAAAAGTATCTGTACATTCAGATTATAATTTGTTAATATTTCATGCATTTATTACACTCTTACCAGTTTTAATTACTTTCTATAATCCTACGAGTAGGTCCTACTACACTATTAACATATTTTTAAAGTTTAAACACGGTCGATTTAGAACTTTCGTCGAGTGATTGATGATATTGGTGTTGTTGATAATTTAAAACTGAAAAGTTCTTAACAAGTTACGAGTTGAGTGGTTTACAAAATTAGTGCTGTAGATAACGTTTGATATACACAAAAGAATAATGACTTGATTTTTTTTAAACAGACTTTAATTGTGCCAATTGGTTCTCTGATTAAACTGTTAGTTTGATCCAGATAAACGCAAACTGTCCTGATTTGTCATCATTACCGCACCACACGGCGATGGTGCACACTAATCTTAACTCGAACGTGTTATATAAGTGCCCCATTGTTGCACTGACCAGTTGCAAACGGCGTGTATTCGCAGCCGCTCGTCAACAAGACGGTAACCCGAAAAAACTCTCATTAACCTAAATTCAAATCTACCTATCAACCAACTACTATCACTTAAATTATTCGCCATTATCATTATCAACGCTTAATTGATATCAAACAAACATTATCGTGCATTTACTAAGGGCAATCGTAATGTCGCAGCCATCGGCACTCGCTACAATATATCTCTCATTGCAACAGCGGCTCGTGTTTGAATAACAATGGAAAGTTTGTCGGTTTAGTGTTCAAAATGGCCGACGTGAAAAAGGAAGCTGAGCGAATAGAGGAGAATCCGTTGAACAGGAATGCTCCAGAAGAAAACGGAAAAAAGACGTTCAGGCAAAAGCTGCAAAATGTGAGGAGCAATGTGACCGTCGAGCCGATGCTGGGAGGGCTCATTATACCCAGCGTTTTGTCCAGGTTTGCTATGGGGAATCTCAATCTCGACAAAGCGTGCCGGGTCAACCTGCAGTTCGGAGACGAAGTCTGTGACGCTTTGATCAAAAAAACAAGTACAAACTATTCTTCTTACGAAAAAGAAGTCCAGGCACTAATCGCATCCATTGATATATGGAAGGGGATCATACACACAGCCTTGCCATGTATCATCATAATGTTTTTGGGAGCTTGGAGCGACAGGACGGGCAAACGGAAAATCTGCATCTTGCTGCCCGTGATTGGAGAACTTTTGACGTCCATAAACAATTTGGTAAACGTGTACTTCTTTTACGAAATTCCAGTGCAAGTGACTGTGTTCCTAGAGACGTTGTTCCCCGCTATCACTGGTGGGTGGGTGACTATGTTCCTTGGTGTTTTTAGCTATATAAGTGACATTACTACTGAAGAGTCCAGGACATTTAGAGTTGGTCTCGTGAACTTCTGCATGACCGCTGGGATACCGATCGGGTTTGCCTTGAGTGGGATTTTCCTGAGCAGATTCGGATACTACGGGACGTTCTCAATGACTGCTGTGATGTTCACAATTGCTCTATTGTATGGATTCATATGCTTAAAAGAACCCGACGTGTTATTGAAAGAACAAGGATTACCGCCTGTAAGTAGTTTATCGCTCTAATTTATGACAAGCTTAATAATCTAGGTTTCTATTTTGTTTTATGGATCGTCATTGGTTAGGCGTTTGATAATTTTGTTTATTAGATAAATTTGGTAGTTATAGATAGCCATGATGATAGGCAACAAGTGATAAAGCACCATTCATCGTCATCCACAGGCATATTTTTCTATTGTCTGTTTGAGCGCAGGGTTTATTGTGATACTTTCAAACATAACAAAATGTAGGTCAAAACATAAACAATTATTCTATTCACCACACGGTGATAATACTATCACATTTACTATATTAAACATCAGTGACTGCCGGTAATAAATGATAGGAATAATGATATTATATTAATTTGCTCCCAGCTATTTTAGCTGGCGTTCTGATATGCGAACCATCGGGCTACGTTGTCTTCTGGCGCTAGTTGATATGAATTTCCAATTAATTACACATTACAAACAAAACAATGGACACCCAAGCTATTAGGTACTGTCAGGCTCAAATAGCTCGTGACACCCAAAGTGGCCAAAAAGTTGACAGCATATTTTATTCCAACTGTTACAAAAACGTGTTGCGAATTCCTTTTTACTGAAATAAAATATTCTTATTCTTATTCTTGTTCTAACTTTTTGGCTACTTCGGGTGTCACAAACTATTTTAGGCTGACTGTACTACTTATAATGAGCTGCCTGCCAACTGTATTTTGTCTACTTATAAAGCGACTAGTCATGATATGTTTAATATGTTTGTTATGCGTGATAATAATCTCTAAATTATCTAATCTGTGTTTATCTAAATGCTTATTTTACATCCTATTTCAAATACTAAATAAAAGTATTTAGGTATATGCCTATATCATTACGATTTAATAAAAATATTCGAAATTTAATCTGATTTCCAAAAATGTTTTTTAGATTCAAAAAAAATCCCTAGGTACTTTCATCTAATTTAATGTCAATAACTCATTAGAAAAAACTGAATTTAATGAGCAAAACAAATTCTTGTGTTCACTTTCATGTCACTAAAGGCTTACTGCTTCTAAAGCATAAAAACATAATATTTTTCCTTCTACTGAGAAGATCAGTATAAAAACAAATTGGATAATGATCAGACGATAGTCTTAATAAAATTATATTATGACTGTTAACTGTCAGGAAATATAATAATACCGTCTAAAGATAAGAAACCGGTAGATTTTAATATCATCAAAGTCATGAAAGGGCTATGAAATGTCAGAAAACAATACGAAAATATGTACAATACGAAACGTTTTTACTATCTAAGCAAATATTGAAGGATAGATTGCGATATTTATTGTAACTTTCTTTGTGTAATGCTGCCTATTTCCTTATTAAGAATGTTTTTAGGGTTCCGTACCTCAAAAGGAAAAAAAACGGAACCGTTATAGGATCACTTTGTTGTCGGTCCGTCCGTCTGTCAAGATCCTTTTTCTCAGGAACGCGTGGAGGTATGAAGCTGAAATTTATATCAATTACTCAGGTCTACTGTCCCTTGAAGCTGTGAAAAAATCAAACTTCTAAGCCAACGCAATCAAAAGATACAGCCGTTTATGCCGCAAATTTTCGACATTTGCAAGGGAATCAAAACCTACAGGGTGCTTCCCGTGAACTCAGAATCTTGAAATTTGGTACGAAGCAACGTTTTATAGCAAAGATAAAGGAAAAATTACGAAAACCATAAATTTTTAGTTACATCACATAATATTTTTTTTTAAAATAATTTTAAACTTACTACCCATTTCCTCATAAACGCGTAGAGATATTAAATTGAAATTCATACCAAATACTGAGGTCTATAATACCTTTAAGCTGTAACAAAATCAAACTTCTATGTCAACACAATCAAAAGAAACAGCAATTTAAGCTGCATATTTTGAAACTCGCAAGTACTCGCAAGTTTCATTACACATACTTTTATGTACCTATGTAGGTATTCAAAATTACAATTATTACAAAACAAAATATTAGTCACTTATAATAATATCTACCTAATCATTAAAATAAAATAATAAGGAGCCATTTGGTCATTACAATTGAATCTTCTGTAAGTATTTAAAATTGCAAAATAAAACAAAATAAAACTGCGCGCGCGTTGTCTCCCCACCGCCCCCTCAAGCCCTCCGCCGGCCTGGCGCGCCCATCGAATACATTTTTAGCCGTTTCGTTTTGGCTAATGTGCACATTAGCCGGCTAAAGATGGAATATCACGACGCAAACTAACATGCTATCGAACTTTAGCTGCTTCTCGAAGATAAACTTAAGTTTAGCCGGCTAAACTTAAGTTTATGTTCACAACTATCTTTAGCCGTAACATATATATAAAAGAAAGTCGTGTTAGTTACTTCGCTTATAACTCAAGAACGGCTAGAATTTCATTTTGCAATAAAAATACCATAGTTATGACTCGATTGTCGTAATGAACGAACTTTGTAAACCTTGCAGGTTTGTACGGAACCCTCGGTGCGCGAGTCCGACTCGCACTTGGCCGGTTTTTTATGAAACAATAGTAGTAAATTGTAAATTTATACAACAAATAATTATCCCATTAACCCCTCGTGGTAAGCAAAATATTATAATACTTGTGTTACGAGTGGGTTCACCACAATAGTCGAGCGGCGCCGGCGCGTTCCTTATTTCAAATTATTCTTTCTTTCTTTCTTTCTTTTTTTCTTACTTTCTTTATTCCCCGGATCACGAGTCAGCCAGTCCGATACCTTCACCGGTCGGCCGTTCTCCCATTCAATCCGTTTCAAAATCCATCATGTTTCAAAAAGCTGAGTTTTTCCTATTCTCTATTTCTACACTTATAGCTTGAAATAAGACCAACCGCTATAATTATTGTAGACCATTCTTGTAGTTTTTAGTATAGTTGTATGTATAGTTCTTGACTTACTGGATACCTCGAAATGAAACGAGAATACCAGTTCACAAATGTAATCCAATAACCAGAGGAGATTCTATATGCCCATTTCGGACTAAAACTAATCTAAATCGATCACATTTCATGGAACGAATAGAAACCTCTTAAGTGTCTAAAGTATTACAGTTTCGTAGAATCTAATCCCTAGAATGTTCATAAAATATTGTTGACTAAATGAATATTTTAGTTAGACCCATAATAATGTAAAAATATGTCTGTCTATTCGAAACAACTTTGGTCCTGAACGCGGTTCGAACCCCATTAGTTTTGGCACTACACAATCTGTACATAGTGTGTACAGTGTGTATTTTTAATTACTTATGAGTTATAGATTTCTGTATGAGTTACAAATTCAAGAAATTGCTTAATTTCAGAAATTAGGTTCCTTAGTCTTAATGTTAGGGCAAAACAGTGAAGTGTTTTAATTTTGATGCTACATTTTTAAGCATTTAGTAAATCCTACTTCATAATAATAATATCACTTCGTAACCTAATAATTATATATTTACTAACTTACCAGTTGTTTTCCATTCGAAGTATGTACTCAAGATGTATCGATATGATTTGTAGGTCAATGAACTATCCACAAATAATAATCACGATGGCGAACAATTAACAATGCGAGTGCAGAACAAATAATGGAATTAATGTAAATGATGTTGATCGAGTTATAAAATACTTCATCTATACTTATAATAAATCTGCAGAGAGGTCAATTCTGCACATGAAATATATTTTCAAAATAACTATCAGGGGGTGATACTGATGCTAAAAATGCAATCAGTAAAATTTTTGTCTGTCTGTCTGTATGTTCCTTATAGAAACAAAAACTACTCGACGGATTTTAACGAAACTTGGTACAATTATTCTTCATACTCCTGGGCAGGTTATAGTATACTTAGGAGCAGAGTAGTGTAGGGAAATTTTGGGAAAACGGGAGAAGTTACTCCATTTTTTATGCTTCCGTCGCGTGTGCAGCCTTAATGGTTAAATTTGGAAGGGACGTAGCTTAGGTACCGTAGAGGTGCACTAAGAAAGGATTTCCCGAAATTCCCACTGGAACGGGAATTAGCGGGAATTAGCGTCGTCCTTTACGTACATTTTAAAATAACATACTTATAATATTTGGTATTAAACAAAATAATATGATAAAGTGAGTACATAATGATTTATCATCTGAATTTTATACAAACTGTAAGTTAGTTTAGCAAAATTAGCAATACCTACTTAAGTTTAAATTTCAATATTATGTAGGTATTTTTTCCCAGTAAATTCACGATTTTCGGACATTACTACATAAAATAATTTCATACAGCATACTAGGTGTTGCCCGCGGCTTCACCCGCGTGAAATATAGTGTCACAGATCGGCATAAATTATAGCTCATATGTTAATTTGGGTTACAAACAATAACACTGTAAAGTTTCAACAAAATCAGTTCAGTAGTTTTTGCGTGAAAGAGTAACATACATCCAGACATCCAAACTTTCGCATTTATAATATTAGTAGGATAAACACAGCATTACTTATCACAGCACTTTTGGAACAAAAGAGAATCCATGATACAGCGTAGCATGTAAGTAATAGAAATACAAATAGTTTATTCAGTACATAGGGCCTTTCTAGGGCACTTATACACGTCCAAAATATAGCTTATCCTACCACCACTTCGAGACAACATATGGGCTGGTGCTGAGAAGAAGTGGCGGAAGAAACTTAGTCACCTTTGTCAGCCTCTTTTTCAATAAAATACAGTAATTTATAGCTTACATGACACGCAATAAGTGCGAACTAGGCAGGTAAAATCCACGCAATCTTGTCATTTAATATGTCCATAATTAATTGTTGATTTGATGTTAATAATATCCATTGACAAAATTCTTAAATAGTAAGCTGGTTGATTTGTGGTACACCATGTATATTATAGAATTTTGTATCTTTAATTGTTGAAATTAAGGTATCTTATCTTCATTCTTGTCGGCATACTCGTTTTCTAATTATTATGGTATAGGTACAATTTTGCTGGTCATCTCCTTTACGCTATATTTTTATTGTAGGTACCTACTAGCGGCCGCCCGAAAATTCGTTCTCAGTTTTTGCGTGAAAGAGTAACAAACATCCAGACATCCACACAAACTTTTGCATTTATAATATTAATAGGATTATAATATTAGTAGGATGTATAAACACACTACGAGTATAATGTCTTATAGTGGTCATAATACAGTATTAATAGAAGCTGGAATCACTTACTCATTTATGTTTTCGATTACGTTCAATATTTATCTAACAAGGGATATCGTGTGTGGCCACGTGAGCAAAATTTTCGACATAAGTAATCTTTGGTGTAGTTTAGAAGATAAGAGGATTAAACAGATACTTATCTAGTTTGGCTATTAATTAACAATCTTGCGACAAAAAAATCACATTTTTCAGTTTATTGTTTAAACTATTTCTTCTTAAGTAAAAAAACCTTGATATACGAGTATTAGTTGTAAAAGCTAATAAATAAATATGTAGTGTTTTTCCTGCGACTCAGTCCACGTGGAATTCGAATTCGTGAACGTATCAAGCAAGTCCCGTCATCGATATGAAAAAAGCGCTTGATTTTTTTTATGATAACTCCTTAAGGTTCAGCCAAACTAACGCGATCACACCGCGATCAGCCGGCGTGCAGCGATGGCGACCAGACCTAAATGCATTGATCGCCATCGCTGCACGCCGGTTGATCGCGTTGGTTTGGCCGAACCTTAACGCGATCACACGCGATCAGCCGGCGTGCAGCGATGGCGACCAGATTTAAACGCACCTATCGCGTGTGATCGCGTTGGTTTGGCCGAACCTTAAGTCTGGTCGCCATCGCTGCACGCCGGCTGATCGCGTATGATCGCGTTGGTTTGGTCGAACCTTTAAGGTGTCTACTCTTAATATAATAATATTATGGTGTAAAAGATAATTATTTCTCCAGATAGAACGCAAGTCCAGCTCAGATGTGTCCTTCTTCGACACCACCCACGTGTTGGAAACCATCGGCGTGGCCTACCGCCGTCGTCCGTCCAACAGGAGGATACGGCTGATACTCACTCTGCTAACAGTCTTCATACTTTATGGACCTGCCATGTGTGAGTATTTTAATATCTTTCACCCATCTTTCGTTTCAAGAGGTTTAACCGAATCCCGTGAGTATTAAAATAACTTCTTTCACTTATTCGTTCCGACCGAATTTCGTCCAATGTTCAACAAAGGCCTCCCCCCCCCACGGATTTCCACAAGGTTCCATAGGTCGTATCTGCTCTGCACCCCTTCGGTGAGATATTATTGTTCTCAATAACAAGCCCATATAAAAACGTCGACTTTCACATAATATGCCTAATAATTCTCAAATCACTATTTTCAGCTTTAAAAATTTCACAATTGGCCATTATGATAAAAACACAAAACCTTCTGAAAATCTTTTTTTAGAAACATGACATACCTCCGCCGAAATATTACACGATAATATTTTATTTACGTGGGATTCGTGCATTCATTTTTCGCCATCTATTACGAACGAAAAGCAGCATAATAACCAATTACAACTACACTATGGCTGTATTTATACCACTATACTGTGTATATCTAAGCGTGCCTTTATTAAAAGGTCATCAGATTCTTGGTTAGGTGGTTGCTTTATAGTTTAAAGGTTGGCTCCTTTACTAAAAATAGTATTTACCCGATAGAACCTTAAATAGTTACTTTGAAGCCGCTCTTGACCAAATATAGGTACGAGTAAGTACTATACCTACTCATAGTAACGAACGAGTAAGTTTGCTCTCAGATAGCTTCGTTTGCGTTTTTCCAAATTAAACCAAAAAGTAGAATGCTTTATCTATTATGAATTTATGAGCCAAATGAATATTCTCCTCATTTAGATAAAATTGATACCTTTGGCGGATTATAATGGTCAACTGTCAAAATATAAAATTACAACAAATTCACAGTCATAATTCACATTCATAATCAGCCTTTTTTTTCAATAAAAAATATTGTAAGAAGAATCTACTTTTTTAGCATTAATAATAAGTGTATAATACTGTATCTCATGTTGATAGCCCAATAAAATAAATAAATAAATAAATAAATAAATTAATTAAAGCTGGGTTGCTGGGTTGCACCATCTTACTTCAACTTTGACGAACGTCAAAAATCTGTCAAACTCCATACAAAAATCACCGGTTATTGTTAAATTTACGGTCAAAGTTAGGTAGTGCACCTCAGCCTAAGTGTTATAATTATGAGCAACTTGAGCAGGGATGCACAAACTTACTGGGACCAGGGGTCACTGGCAGATTATGAGCTAAAAGCGGGGCACAGAAAATAATCAAGTGGCAGTGGGCACATAGCTCGAAGAGCTGATGGCCGCTGGGGCAGGAAAGTTCTTGAGTGGCGACCACGAGCTGGAAGACGTAGCGTGGGCAGGCCTAAAGGCCACTAGGTGGACCGACGATCTGGTGAAGGTCGCGGGAAGTACCTGGATGCAAGCGGCGCAGGACCGGTCTTTGTGGAAATCCTTGGGGGAGGCCTTTGTCCAGCAGTGGACGTCTTTCGGCTGAAACGAACGAACGAACGGGCCGCTCATAATGTAGGGGGCCGCGATTTTTGTGCATCTACTTGATCTTGAGAGTCATATCAGTCAGAAGTCTTTTTTCAACAGCTCCTAATAAAGTCTGATCTGACACCGCAATTAGTATAGCCCTTACTATAGATTGCTGTATTAATATTGTTTGTTTGTTTATTCTTCCAGCCGAACACACAGTGTTCTACCTATTCGTGCGGAATCGACTGAACTGGGACATGGTGAAATACGGCCTTTTTGCTTCCTATTCCATTGTCCTACATTCCTTTGGTAAGTTAACAAATAATTAACTATTATAAGCTGATAGTAATTGACTAATACTGTAATTTGGTAAGTTATTTTGTTTTTCTTTCATCATCGGTCTACTTCTTTCCTAAAAAAACTTAACAGATTTATAAAAGAAACGATTAAGGAAAGGGGTGTTATTATGTTTGACCGCTATGTTATGTAATATTTCAAACTCTCGCGTTCCATTTCAACTAAAATATAAAGAACCGTGTCTTTCTATTTTAGGTATGTTATGTGTCTGTAGCACCTGTAGCTCTGGGTGAATAGATTCGGATGCTGTTTTTTTTCATACATCCTATTATACTATTAATGAGGATAGCTTTTTACAGGTTTTTCCACCGATAAGATTGAATTTTCAATTCTTTTGTATGCCTATTTTGAGTGGTGTATTAAAGAATATCTATCTCCCAGGTGCCATGTTTTCCATCACGGTGCTGAGCAGGCGGCTACAGGTGGACGACTCGGTGCTGTGCATCATCTCCATCATCAGCAAGTTCGTCGGCTCCGTCTGGACGGCGTTTGTGAGGACTGACATGGAAATGTACTTAGGTAATTGAATTCAATGCTATGGAAAGGGCTTGGTGTTTCTCTACGAGATCAAATCAGAAATGAGATCCGTAAACGAATTAAGTCGCTGACATAGCTCGATGAATTAGAATGGGCAGAGCACGTAGTAGGTACGCAAAACTGACAGCCGATGGGGTAGCAAGGTTCTGGAGTGGAGGCCGCGTACCGGAAAACACAGCGTGCAGCTTGAGACGTCCACATACAAGGTGGACTGACGACATCGTAAAGGTAGCAGGAAAGCGCTGAACGCAGGCCGCTACCAACCGGGCAACATAGAAAGCATTAAGGAAGGCCTATGTTCAGCAGAGATCGTCCTATGGCTGAAATTATACAAATTACGTTACGAGTGGGTTAACCACAATAGTCGAACGACGGCGGGGTTAGAACCTACGTTCCTCGGATCTTGATTCAGACAGCCCGACTAAGCGCTCCTGCATACGACGCCGCCACCGCGCCCTACACTGTTCATACGCACCGAGTAAAGCCCGCCGCCGCGCCGCCACCGCGCCGTCATAGCATAATTTCGCCGGCGGCGCGGCGGCGGCGTCGTGTGCAGGAGCGCTAAAGTATATTCTATTCTGTTCTAAATGCTTCTAAATTGACCAATTTAATTTTAATTTCAGTACCAATCGCCGAAATTATGAACGCGACAACGTTTACTTCGCTACGGTCAATCATCTCGAAATTGGTCGAGAAACAGGAAACAGGTACTTACGTCTCTATCAACTACCATTACTGCAAGTTTAGCAACGTCATGTAGATGCACCGTGACTTTACTATTTAACTTGACAACGACTGTGCGGAAGTTATTATCAAAGTAATAGTATGATTTTGCCATAAAACTACTAATAACACCTACATCATCTATTGTATGTACTTCAAAGGACAGTGCCAGGGTCTGGACCAAGTGTTGCCCAGAATCAACCCATAGTGCATTTTGTTCCTCAGGCCTATACTAATGTGTAAATCGAAGCGCACTGAAATCTATCCCTGGAGTTAAGAGAAAAAAAGAGTTTTGTTTCAAAATATTTACATACAAAATATCATCGATGTATACGTACTACGCCTAAGATTTCGCGATTTTGGCATTAAATAACACTCGCTATGTTGAACTTAACCATACTGCATCCGTACACGTTACTTTAGTGCGATTTAGAAATTCTTTATAAACGATTTAACGCTGTTTTAATTATTTGCTAAGTTGACAGAAATCCATTATTTCCAAAAATGAAGCAAGAAGTTTTAGTTCTATATCATTGCAAAAAATCAATTTATTGGTGTATTACAATCGATTATTGAAGTTATTAAGCTAAAACTTCTTGCTCCATTTTGGAAATAATTAATTTCTGTCAACAAACAAACTACTGCAACAGCGCTTGATCGCTTATAAAAAATGTCGAAGTCGTACTAAAGTAAGGTGTACGGATGCAGTATGGTTAAGTTCAACATAGCGAGTGTTATTTAATGCCACAATCGCGAAATCTTAGTACGTATACATCGATGATATTTTGTATGTAAATAATTCAAAACAAAACTCTTTTTTTCTCTTAACCCCAAGGATAGATTTCAGTGCGCTCCGGTTTATAAATTAGTATTGGCCTGAGGAACAAAATGCACTATGGTTTCATTCTGGGCAGCACTTGGTCCAACTTCCATACATGGATTGGCACTGTCCTTTTCAAGAGTCATAGAAATTACTGATTAAGTCTCATACAAAATCAAACTGTTTTATCTTTTATTCATTTTGCGTTGACTTGTACTTTAAGCATAATTTCATTTATTCTATTAAGATTAAAACACTGTCCCCTTATTACAAAAAAATTAACCCGGGACGAACACTGACTTAAAATAACATTTCCATACTAAATATAAATTTAAACCAAAGTTCAATCAGTGGGCTAATTCAAATGCATTTGTCGAGAGTAGAAATCGTCTGTCAAATAATTTTCTAGTAATCAATTTTGAACTGATTGTCAAGGTAATACAGTTGAAAATTGAATATCAAAGCCAGACTACGCCTAATGTCATTCAGCCGATGGTAGATGCCAAATTTCCAATATCGCGTACGAAGACGGAGAACTTTGTCAATATAGTGGTACATAAGGGTCATAATTAGTGGATGCCGACGATTTTCGCGCTGTCATCTCAACGACTGCCCACCCTGAGTCGTACACCCGTATTCACAAACACTAACTATGAGGTTTCACAGTGCGCGTGAACGCACAGGGTGACACACGAACCAATCACAGAGTTTGATTTAACGCTGTGCGTTGGATTTCCTGCTTCACTTAAGCAAGCATCATTTGTGAATACGGGCGTAACTTTTTATAATAAAGGGGTTTAATAATAATAATAATAATAATAATATCCTTGGACATTTACACTGCGCTTCTAGTCCCAAACTAAGCAAAGCTTGTACTATGGGTACTAGACAACGGATATAAACATACTTAAATAGTTTTTTTTTTTTGTAAATACATACTTATTATACATAGAAAACACCCAGTCCAATACAAACAAATATGTTCATGCACACAAATGTTTGTACTGTACGGGAATCGAACCCGCTACCTCCGGAATAGTAGTCCGTTTCGAACCACTACACCAAACGGCCGACAATTACGGGTTAAAGTTTCAAAAATCTGGGGCAGGTTGAGATGTAGGTATATTAATTTTCTTCCCTTCCACAGCCAAGGTGAACTCTCTCTTCTCCCTGACGGAGACAGTCGCAGCTCTGCTCTTCCATCCCTTCTACTCCTGGACCTACATGAGGACACTGAACGTCTTCTCAGGAACAGTCTTCATTATCAGCGCCATCCTCGTGATACCAGCTCTCTGTATTGTAACGTAAGTCTTTTGGATATTGAAACACTACACAAATACTCCGTGAATATTCCCCGGTTGGGTTTTTATTGGTGGTCAAGCTGTAGATTCTGGCTACACAGGAGTTGCAGCGGTAGGAACGAGAGGTGGGAATACTCCGTGGAACTGGAGCTGTACGAATGCTGCCGCAAATGAAGCTCCTACCAATTAAATTATTCGTCAGAGTACAAACTTCTTCTTTTTTATCCACCTGTCTTCCATTATCTGCCACACCGTCAGCTGTCTTCTTTATTGTTAGTTCATCAAAATTCAGAGCATCTCATGGGTAGATTTTTGAAACGCGGTCCAATTTCCTTCTTCTTGTTTAGTCCGTTCTTCGACAGACGTGGCCAGTGCCTTACACCTTATTGTTCCTACAAAGCCTGGTATATTCTTAAAAAAAATAACTAAGCTATATTTTATTATTTTCAGAACCTTCTACGTACAGCAGAAGATAACCCAAAAGAAGTCAAGAAAAAAGGCATTGGAAGAAGAAGAGAAAAAAGAGTCTGAATTGAAAAAGGCTGGACCTCTTGAATTCCAGCCTTCCAAAGTAGCCACAGAATAAAAAAGTACAAATTATATGTATAAGTTTAGTCTTTAGTACAATGCCTACAATCATCGTCCTATGTATTGGCGCAAGTACACTATGCGATAAATTGGCCGTGTGTGAACACCATTTCGATTACTTTCTCCTTCCACCCCTACGTCACCCTTACTCCTGGAAAATTTTACACATAGTTACTTTCGCCATATAAATATCTTTATTTTAGTGTTCGGGGTGTTTCGCGATATATTCTCGTCCGAAATATGCACTGTGATTGTTCTAAATAAATAATAATTTTTAATTTAGATTTTTTTTAAGTTCGTTTTGGCAAACTTATTTTTACTGCAAATATTTTAAGCTGTATATACTGTTTTTTGTTTTGTTTTCTTTATTTATAAGGCTTTGTAAATAACTATACTAATATCATATATTTCTTTTTATCTTTATTTTTTTATTTTTTAAGCTGTTACGTCAAATTTCTGAGATTTCTAAAGGCCCTTCTCAAGAAGACCTCACCATCAACATCACACTATGACTATTGTAACAACAACGAGAACTCACCGTCATTATTTTAATACGAATGCAAATAATAATGAATGAAGAGGCATGTTCATTTAATTTTGACAATTAAGATCATTCTTAATTCATTTAACTATTAATTGCATCATGTTACTGATGTAACTGTACTGTTATTTCAATTTATCCAATGAATGAGTATTTTGCTTTTGCTAAAAAACTATTCATCATCATAATTTCAGCGACAGGACGTCGCCAGCTGACCTCTCCCAATTATCGTCCAAAATACCTCAGTGTCAAAACGAAAGTGTGAGAAAAACTATTATACAAATAAATATTTCCTATAACTTACGAGTAAGATTTAAAAAAGTATTATTATTCGTTACCTATGTAGATTTGTGTGTTACCAGTGATAACTTATGGCTCGGAAACGTGGCCTCTCACTATAGGCCTTATACAGAAGCTCAAAGTTGCACAGCGTGCTATGGAGAGGGCTATGCTTGGTGTTTCTTTGCGAGATCGAATCAGAAATGAGGAGATCCGTAAACGAACCAAAGTCGCTGACATAGCCCGACGTATTAGCAAGCTGAAGTGGCAATGGACAGGGCACATAGTACGCAGAACTGACGGCCGATGGGGCAGAAAGGTTCTGGAATGGAGGCCGCGTACCGGAAAACGCAGCGTGGGACGTCCACCTACAAGGTGGACCGACGACATCGTAAAGGTAGCAGGGAAGCGCTGGACGCAGGCCGCTACCAATCGATCAACATGGAAAGCATTGGGGGAGGCCTATGTTCAGCAGTGGACGTCCTGTGGCTGAAATGATGATGATGATGATNTATTTTTATATGTTATGTTGTTTGGCATTGCAGAGTAACCAATAAAAGTAAATAAAATAATATACCTAAATAAATAAAAAATATAAATAAAATAATATAAATAAATAAAATATTATAAATACTTAAATTAATATTAGACAACATCTCATATATTACTCCAACCCAAAATAAGTAGCTAAGGCATTGTGTTATGGAAATCGGGAACGACGAACCACAACACACCCAAACCAGAGACAATGTGAAAAGATCGTTTTCTATATTGTCCCGGCCGGGAATCGAACCCGGGACCTCAGGATTGGCCCGGCACACCTTGAAAACCGGTGTGTGCGCCTCTCCGCCACCGAGGTCGTCAAAAATGTTACCTAAATGTAAAATAAAATAAAATATTAAAACTTCATTTTCTCAATATTCCCATAAAAGAGAGAAAAAAAAATGCACGGAAATTCATTGGATATTAGTATGTATCATCTGTGATAGGTTTCGTTTGTGTCCGCTACTTTTCGAAAAGTGGGGCAAAAAGTTCCCAATGTCATTTATACACTACTTAATCTTAATTGAATTACTAAATAATCTGAAAACGCTTATCAAGACACTAAATAAAGATTACGAAGAAATAATGTCTATCATCAATGAATAAGTCACTGTTATGTAATTTGAATCACCTTACAATATAAAAATATTTTCGTAAAAATATATCACTGGAAATGTTAATATCAAATAACTCACTGACGCAATTTACTTGCCTATGTGTTTGCTAATGTTTGCATGATGCATACGATGTTTCTATTACAAAACCATAAATGACATGACATAATTTAAACAAAAAATGGATAATTATTTTAAGTTGATTATCACTAATGTGCTCACACCTCGTGGTAAGTGCTGACCTAAATCGCATAAATCATTGATAATAAAAAGATAAAGAAACAAAAACTGATTATAAGTATACTATTAGAAGTGCGTGGATTGACTGTCATAGTCAATTGATACAATGGTTTCTCAAAGACGAGAAGTTCATCAAGAAACAATTGAACCTGAGGCGGAGCCTCTGCACCAAGACCATGATGACGAGCCAGAAGAGAAGAGAACTTGTGCCCAAAGTTGTATGTATGCCTTCAGAAACGTCACCGTTGAGCCAACTGTCTTGCTTTTCATCATGGGTTACATGATTGCTAGCCTGGCCACGACCAACTTAAGACTGCAGAAAGCTTGTCGAGTGAACCTTAATTTCTCTGATGAAATATGCACAGCAATGAACGATCAAACGTTAGACAGTCAAAACGAATTCGAGAGAGAAGCACAGAGACTGCTGGCAAGAGCGTTGTCCTGGAGAACATATATCACCGCAACAATACCGTGTGTGATAGGACTCTTCGTGGGTCCTTGGCAGGACAAGACGGGCCGAAGAAAAATATTTCTTGTAATCGCTCTCATGGGACAAGTCCTCGGTTGCATTAACAGTATGATTAACGTGTATTTCTTCTATCAACTCAACTTGGAGGTTTTGATCTTCACTGAAGCTTTGCTGGATGCGTTGAGTGGGGGATCGTGTGTTGTGATTATCACTGTGTTCTCATTCATATCTACTATAACTACAGAGAAGAATAGAACTTTTAGAATGGGGTTAGTGAATTTCAGTCTAACTGTGGGATTGCCGGTTGGGATCGCGTCAAGTGGAATTATGTTGAGAAGTCTGGGCTTCTACGGGCCCTTTGGATTCTCTTTAGGAATACATCTCATCAACGCGATGTATAACGCATTTGTGTTGAAAGATCCGAAAAGAACAGAAGAACAAAAGAAGGTAAGTTAAATTCCTTAATACCTACTTTGTATTATTACTTGTCAATTTTCTAATCGTATAGGTATAACAACAACACATTGCTTGAGTAATTTTCTGACATGATTATTACCCAAAAGGATACGATATTAAGGTAATAAAGTACCCTTTAAGGTAGGCTCAGATTGTAAACATTATTGACACACACATTCTATTAAAAGAAGAAGAAAGAAAGAAAAAACATTTTTATTTATTGCTCAAATGTAACAACTTTTCTCAAGGGGCCGAAGTTAAAATATAAAAAACCTTTCCATACAAATTATAATCATCAATCAGCCGTAGTATGGAGTTTTTTTTTTTTTTTTGAGAATTTCCTTGTCAAATGGTCCATAGGCCTGCAGGAAAATGCTGCAATAAAAACACCCTGTATAGTTGAGGCAGATCCACAATAAACGCTTCAACTGCTTCAACACATTTCCTGTCAAATGTGTCACTATAGACACGGTAATAATATCATACAGTATTGTAACTTCATATAAACCGACGAAACGCGAGTTTTCCTTCGAATTTCAAATCACGGGACGTGGTCGAGATCCAGAAGTTAGGGGTGTCGCGAATGTGCCGAACGGACGTCGATGGCCTAGTGTTGAAAATGACTAAGGTGATTGAATTTGACTGACCGTCTTAAACGATCAAATTTGTCAAAAACTAGTCATTAACTGTCAAAAATGGTCATTTTCAGTCAGTTCGATTTGAAATGAAAATTATCCCAACTAATATTATAAATGCGAAAGTAACTCTGTCTGTCTGTCTGTCTGTCTGTCTGTCTGTCTGTCTGTCTGTCTGTTACGCTTTCCCGCTTAAACCTCGCAACCGATTTTGATGAAATTTGGCATAAAGATAGTTTGAGTCCCGGGAAAGAACATAGGATAGTTTTTATCCCGGTTTTTGAAACAGGGACGCGCGCGATAAAGTTTTTCTGTGACAGACAAAATTCCACGCGGGCGAAGCCGCAGGCGGAAAGCTAGTATTGTATAAAACCAGCTTTGGTCCACGACTTCGCCAGCCCGAAATTAAAGTAACAGGTCGTTAAGTACTCATTATGATTAGTAGATTCAAAATTATTTTAGTATATTTTTTAAAATTAAATCTACTAATCACAAAACAACACGCATTTTTATCCTATTCCATTCACAAAGTCTTTTGTTCGTCTAAATAAAAAAAAAATTACAATCACAAAACTAGACAGAAATTCTTAGTGGACAGATTTAATTTGAATGGGTACCATAAGTGAGCAGCCCTATCGCATGTTGTCATACCGTGACGTACCGCGGGGCTGTTGACATTTATTTAAAAAATATGGCCGAGTTGGAATACTGTATAGATAGTATTACCGTGCTATAGATGACCTACACTGAACTGTCACACCAAACTCGTTGACAGGGGGCGCCATAATCGTTCAACTATTTAGTTTCCAACAAGGCAAAAATCGAACCAGCGATCCGGTATTGACGGTGGCGCCCCCTGTCAATGTCACGGGTGGGACAGTTCATTGTATTGGGTCTTTATTTTGTAACTCGTATGTACCGCTACATCATTATTTTTACTTGGCGCCATCTAGTCAAAACCAAGCAAAGCTTGTGCTATCATTATCGACGAACGATATGAATATTAACCCGCGTCATTTGATTTCAAAATCCGAGTTCATAATAATTAATAGTTATAAGAAAATACTTATAAAATTCGTCATTAACCGAGATCTCAAATATACCTATAACATTTGTTATCATTAAGGTCGCCATAATATGTGTTTTTATAATAATTGAGAACTCGGGTTTTTCACACGAATGTCGCAGGTTCGATACTTGTAGTACAAACAATAAAAGATATAAGACGATAAATGTCGAAGGAAGCACCTGAATGAGGGTAGCACAGCACTGGCCCCTGTAAAAATTCGTGAGGTCTTTGTCCAGCAATGAACCAAATACTTTAAAACTATCTATAAACGCTCGTTTTGGGCACACTTTGCAAATCAATACGTGTATGATATCACCAATATAGTTCATTAATAGTTGAATAATTTAGATAAAGAAAAGTCAATGGTGCGTTAACTTACTAAGTACCTACCTCTTCTTGAGATCGGTTTATCGAACTGGCTGCCCATACTGTAAGAGGAAATGGCTAATTGATACCACCAATCACTTTTTCGTTCATTTCAGCCGATATACGTCACTGCTGGACAAAGGCTTGTCCTACGCTGCTCGCATCCAGGCACTTTTTACATGTTCTCAAACAGTAGTACCGGGACTTCTGCATATTATTTTGTATAGCAACAGCGACATAGACTTTGTCACTTCTTCGCCAACTTAATTCACTCAGAATATTACTTTTTTCATTTCAAAGGCTTTTATCATAATTTATGGTTATATGGATATTTTACTGTGATAAAAAATTCAAAATTCAGAGTGACTATTTAAAATCATGTTTTCCTTGTTAATTGCTTAGTATTTCATGGCATATCTCAAAGTCAATTAAATAAACAACAGACGGGATCAAGTAATCAGTATTATTATCAACAAAAGTTTATGACTTACCAAATGCAGAGGCACAAATTAGTTAACATATTAGTATAAACAGTCGTTGAGGACGGACTTATCTACTCAATCCGATAGAACTATAGGTACGTGTGTTCATTGTGTTCAAAGAATAAATAAATGCAATATTAGTTAAAGTGAAAAAATGGCTAACAGAAATGAATCGGACGAATTCACAGAAAAAGACCCACTGCAAAAAAACACAGGGGAGAAACTCGAAACGGGCCATGTGGAAATAATTAAGAGCCAAACTTTTTGTGAAAAATGCCGCTACATATTTAATAATATAACATTCGAACCGACCATGGTTATGTTCACAATCGCTGTGATGATCATGATGACGACCACACAAAATTTGAGTTTAGAAAAAGCTTGTCGTGTCAATTTGAATTTCACAGACGAAATATGCACGTCTCTCAGATCACAAAGTGCTGACAGTCAAAACGAGTACGAAAGGGAAACCCAGAAGTTGCTGGCGACTGCTGTGAGCAGAAGAACATACATAGGGGCCACTGCACCGGCTGCTTTGGCCATTTTTGTTGGATCTTACTCGGACACTACTGGCCGCAGAAGATTCTTCGTACTGATGCCTTTAATTGGCCAAATGCTCGCTTCTGTCAGCAACATTGTTAACACTTACTTTTTTTATGAACTCTCATTGGAAGTGCTAGTTTTCAGTGAAGCTTTCTTTGAGGCCTTCAGTGGGGGGTGGTGCGTTTGTTTTACCACAATCTTCTCTTACATGGCCATTATTACGTCAAAAGAAGACAGGACTTTTCGCCTTGGCATCGTGAACTTTTGCTTCACCGTAGGAATACCCATCGGGATGGGACTCAGTGGAGTGTTGTTGAAAAACTTAGGGTTCTTCGGGTGTTACATAGTTGTGATATGTATGCAGGCTGTAAACTGTTTTTATACGTTCTTTTTTGTGAAAGATCCGAAAAGAACGCCGGAGCAGAAAAAGGTAATGTTTTAATCACTTTCTTAGTTATTTGTTGATATAAGTGTATGAGTATTTGGATTGTTTAATCTCTAAATTGTAAACATTTATTGTTCTTGAAGATTATTCATATTATTGATTATTCATAAAGCATCAATAGGTTATCAAACATTCAATTAATGCATTAACAAAACTGAACGTGCTTGATAGGTATCATTATAGTTACATTTGAGATAATGCGGATTATACCTATTATTCTACGTAAAACCACAGAATAAGTAATAGTACAGGTACAGAAGGATTACTCCACAAGACGATTTAAATAAATGCGAGTCTTGCTACGACGAGATACAGTGGAATTCAGCTCGCACAGCACTACGTACCTACAATTTTATTCACCTACAAGTTTTGTCTCTCTTTAACGCGTGCCTCTGAACTCTTCTTACGCTATTAGGGTTGATGTCTAGTGAAAAAATAATTAATCTACTTATTTGTAATGACCTACGTATGTAGGTAAGTATGCATTCATTATGGTAAACCTTGGGAGAGGCCTTTGTCCAGCAGTGGACGTCATTTGGCTGAAACGAACGAACGCATTCTGAGCAGTAGTCATAGTAGGTTAGGTTCCTATACTATCTTAAGAATTATTGATTACCTACATGGCCAACATACCTTTCAGCATCTTTGGGAAGCGAAAAAAAAAGATAAATCCGGTAGATTACTTTTCGAATTTAAACACCCGAACGCCGCACAATATTTCTTTCTCTTTATGTCCATTTTTAAATAATACTTCGATCATAGAATTATAATCATACTACAACGCATGCCAGCGCCCTGACGAGCGCGCGCGTGACACTCGACTGATATAATACCCGCCGGCGGGGCGCTTCGCTGTAGGTAATTATCGGATGTACCGCGCGGAGTGAGCCAGGCCTGATAATGTTCTATAGGAACGAATATAAACTTTATCAGCCATTTTGACATGAGCTACTCTTATTTTACCATCTGGTCCAGGTACTATTTTTACAATACGCCCCATAGGCCACTTCATTGGTGCAACATTATTCATTTTGACAATAACTAGATCTCCTAATTTTAAGTTTACATTTTCTTGATTCCATTTACCANGCCGGGGCGCTTCGCTGTAGGTAATTATCGGATGTACCGCGCGGAGTGAGCCAGGCCTGGTAAAACTTACAAATCAAATAATCTCAGAGAATAAAATTGGTCTTAAGTAACATATTATATGCTTATGAGTAGGTATAAGCTTTTGATTCTAAAATTTTCATACAGTTAAAAAATATTTGTTATTATTAATTTAAACGAATGAATATTCGGCGCAAAAACGCTGGTTCACTTCTAAAGCAAGATCCGCGATATCTGTTTATGGTAATCGTAGTGTCCTGTAAGACTATGAGCCATAGCCGACAGTAGGGTCTATACTACCCTTAAAACTCGGTTAACTACATCATCATACATAGAAACGTGTTAACTAATTGTGTGTTGCTAGTAATACAGCTGCAGATAATGAATATAAATTTCCCAAACTAAACTATGTCTGTATCTCTGGTGAAGTACACAACATGGTCAGTTTAAAATACTTACCAATACTTACTCGTTACTGATCTAATTTAAAAAATTCTGATACAGCAAAGAGTGTCTGGGGTATTGTTGATATATCTGTAGATGTCCTACATAATTGATAATACTTTGATATTTTGTTATAATCTCAATTCAAAGTACTAATTGATAATATTGATAAATGAGAAATCAATTGTTTTTGTCCAAAGGTTGCCATCTACAGTTTTGCGCCTCAATTTTGCATAGATAAATTAAACTACAAAGAGAACAGATAGAGACACTTAAGAGAACAATATTCTTTACTTTATAGAAGAATCACTTATTTCTAATATGTACACCACCCATTTAATGCACTCCCACAGTAATTAAATCATAAAAATAAATAAATAAATAGGGTAAACCAGAGAGTGATTGCCCACTGGTAGTGATTGCCCGCTTTAAGAATAATATTGTCAGGTGCTGACTTTGAATCACTCTAGTTAGATTTGAATTTACTAGATAGATGGCTCCGAGATCAATGTACAGTAGATTTAAAATTTACAATAGGAAACACTAAAAAAAAACAGTTATGGCGAATTTTGTCAAGACGGGTGAAAATGTTACTCAAACAGGTAAAGACTTTAACAATTTTACTAAGGAATTACTTGCTTAGAGGTTAAAATTTTTTTGCAAGTTATTTAATATTCAACTAATGGTGTATAGTCATGATGAAATTATAAGTGTTTTCTCCATTATCAATGAAAATAACTGATAAAATTTGATTTCTAACGGTCATTTTAACGGTGGGTAATCACTGCACGTAAATCTGTATATTTTTAGTTATTGCCCACCATCATTTCAGTTATTGCCATATGTTAATGTATAGTTATTGCCCAGGGCAATTATTATTAGAGTGTTGCCACCATGCAGTAGCAGTGTTTAAGTTGCTCATTGCTAGACTTGTTTTGCAATTTACAGGCATAAATATTGAAATGGCTTTTAATGTTTCATTTTCAGTATGCCAAAGACTCCAAAAGTTCAATATAGCATAGAAAATTTGCAAAAAGCGATCGAAGCTGTACAAGATGTATCCAACAATTTATCTACAAGATAAATTGCTGAAAAATATGGTTTGGCTTGAAAAAATTGATAAAAATTCAAACGCAAATACAAAAAATGAAAATCCTACGTTAAATCTACTAGTGAAAATGTTAATTGTAAGGAAATAGATACAACTTTAGGGAAGAATAACCAACAGCTAATTGAACATTCTGAGCAACCACTTGAACTGATATCAAAGAAGATAAAAAAATAAATACATATAAAATTTACATATAAAATTCAAATTTTTGCGTCATCTATGTTTTGAAGTAGATGATTCTGTCTCTACCGATTCTGACTCATCAACATCAGCTCAAGAAATATTTGATAATATGTTAATAAGGCCAAACGCAATTTATTTTGAAATTTTGAAGACTGTACTACTAGAATTTAAGTTTAATGTTTTGTTTTGTTTATTTAAAGCCTATTTTGTCATTTTCAAATTGATTATTTTGTTTTAAGATACTGGGCAATTACTGTGCTTTGATGTGGGCAATTAGTGTAAGTAATGGGCAATGACTGTACTTTTTGAAGGATTTTAAATTTATTTCAATATTTTCTAAGTTACGTAAGTTTTAACTAAAAACTGTTAATATTCTGTTTAACAATTTATTGAGTTATAAGAAAAAAGTCATAAATGGTCGATATTTAAAATACTTTCTTTAATTTTTCATTTCAATGTGTTTGAAATCTTTAAGTGGGCAATAGCTATACGGTTTACCCTACCTAATAGGAAAATCGAAGTTTAGAAATATTTTTCCCACCATAATTTAGTAATGATTTACAAGAATTTTCTTAATTGCCAAGCGTATTAAATAAACAATTAATTGTCATCATTATCCGCACTTTACTGCCACCAAATGCAAAGGTACATGCAATGAGTACCACTAAAGTATAAAGACACACTAAAGACAGTCTTATTGGCTCAATACAATAGTGCACTAACGAACGTTAACTGTGTGCAAGCAATAATAAATTAACTCGTACAAATGACAATTAAATAAAACAAATAGTGTGATACCAGGCTAAGAAAATGGCAGACGACAATTTTGTTCTTGATAAAAATGGATCAGAAGAGTACACAGAAAAATGCACCCTACAAAATAACGATAGAAACAATTTTGAGACCACAGAGACAATTGAAAGTAAATCTTTTAATGAAAAAATTCGCTGTGTACTAAAAAAGGCCACACTTGAACCAACCATGATCATGTTCATGATATCAGTGATGATATCGATAAATGCAACTCAAAATTTGAGCTTAGAGAAAGCCTGTCGAGTAAACTTGAATTACACAGACGAAATTTGCGACTCACTACGAATGCAGAGTGTCAATAGTGAAAATCAATATGAAAGAGAGGCTCAGAAGCTGCTAGCCTCTGCTCAACGCAAAAAAACTCTATTAACATCAACAGTACCCGCTATCCTGGGTATTTTTGTTGGGGCATGGTCAGACATCACAGGCCACAGGAGACTGTTCGTCCTACTGCCATTGACGGGTCACATTTTAATGGGAATCAGCCTCATCATTAATACCTACTTCTTTTATGAACTGTCCTTAGAAGTTCTGGTTTTATGTGAAGCGTTTTTTGAGGCATTCAGTGGCGGCTGGTGTGTGATTTTTATGACAATATTTTCGTACATGGCTGTTATAACAAATAGTGAAAACAGGACGTTTCGTCTGGGCATTGTGAATTTCTGTACAACAGTAGGCCTGCCCATCGGAATAGCACTAAGTGGGGTAATGTTGAAAAAAATCGGTTTTCTTGGATGTTACACTTTTGTGATCTCTGTCCATTTCGTAAATTGCCTCTATACGTTATTTTATGTGAAAGATCCAAAAAGAACACCGGAACAAAAGAAGGTAATCAATTAATAATTTATTTACTAAGTTTCCAAATTGTGCAAAAAATTAAATGTAGGTAACTTAACGTCTTAATCCCTCCAAACCACTCGATATGTATTTATACTTGTGTTAGGAGTGGGTTCACAACAATAGTCCAGTGGTCGATTTGGTCCAATAGGATTAGGCGCGAGTGGATCTTTTTAAATCGCAATGACTATTAATTGTATAAAATGATAACTAAATGAATCAGAGCATCAATTATTAGTTTTCAGTAAACATCGACGTAACCGTATTAATCTTATCTCTGCTTTCCTTTCAAAGTCCACAAATACTGAACAATGAATATTAATGTTAGTGTTAAGTTTATGGCAGTAATCTAGCGTTAATTACAATTCAACGTTATGTGTTTGTAGACATTGTTGAACAACATTGCTGTTTAAACAATAAATAACCATGTTTATTTAATATTTTGAAGTTTGATGCGTTTAAAACTAAAATTATTTCGTTTCTGCTGAATAAATGGATTAAAAATTTATTTATTTATTTAAAAAATATTATTTTTTGTTCCGCATGCGATATCAGTCTTGTTCTAGTTTCAAAACACTTATCATGATTATCAATTTACATTGGTAATACGACTAATAAAAGAAACATCATTAATTTGTCGTTTGATTTTGATTGATTTTGTAACAATTCACTGCTAGACCGAAGTCTTCCTCAAGGGGTGCCACAAAGCCCAATCTATTTTTCGTCCATATCCATACACTAACATTCGAACGCATAACCACAGAAGTTGCTATAGTGGTACGCAAACAACTGGGTAGGAAGTTGCTATTCCGAATATGGCAATGATATCGAATTTGCGTACACCAGTCTACGCCCTGCTTGTAAGGCTCTTTCACTCGCCAGTGGCGCCAAAAAACTATTATAAGATAGTCCTAAAATTAAGTTTATTAAAACTGGTAATCTTATCAGATCATGGTTAGTAAACACGCTACGGAAGTCTAAAGGGCTTAATCAAGGCCCCTTAACATACTGTAGGTACCTACCTAGAGCCATCATTATTACACGCTTGGTTTTTTATAACGCGGAAAACTTTGGAAAATACTAGCCATCATATTTTTTTTATGTTACAAACTGTGAAAAATCACACACACAAATAAGTTGGAGAAAGTAACAAAAAAGAGAAAACAATATGTTATTTAAAAAACAATACCTACCTGCATGCATTTATCTCTATTGGTTCCTATTTCCATTAGCAAATAACCAAATAATTTGATCATCACACATTTTGAGCATTGTTGTCAAATATTCCTAAATCACAACCATTTTTGAATGCACAATACATTTTAGAATGTTGTGTTAGGCAATAACCACAAACATTTCTGTTTTAATAAGCTTAAATGGTACTATTAAAATTAGATTTAAATTTAAAATCTTTATTGCGTGTTATTATTTGGACTCATAAGAGTTGTTTTCCACAGCACGACGGGCAGGGCGTCCGCTACTTCTTCAGAACGTTCTTCGACTTGTCCAACATTAAGGAGACTATCAAAGTGGTATTCAAAAATGGACCTAAAAGACGTCGGCTTAGGATGTGCGTGCTGATGGTGATCGTCACCTTCTTGTTTGGACCTATGTTTGGTATGTACTTAGTTTTGTGGCCTATATTCGGTGTAGGCCCAGTCAGCGTCAAATACTTCGTGACACCAAAAGTAGCCAAAAAGTTCACAACACGTCTTTGTTACAATTTTGGAATAAGGTTGTGTTATCAAGCAAATAATTCGTAAACTAATATTGTCATGAAAATAAAAGTATGAACGAAAAGAACTTGAGCACTTTGTGCCTAAACACATGGCGTTATACGTTCAAATATGGTACTATTTAATAAAATACTAACGTAAAAATGTATCATTTACTTTACAGGTGAAATGTCTGTTATGTACATGTCTACACGGTACCGATTCAACTGGGACGAAGTTAAATACAGCCTCTTCCAAGCATACAACTTTATTACACATACAATTGGTAAGCTAAGTACTAGTTAGTAATTTATACTCCCGTTGAAAGGCAAGCCAATTTCAACAAGCAATCTATCTATATACAGGGTGGAAACGATAAGTGATCTCACCCGATTATTTCTAAACTATACAAGATATCGAAAAACTGGTTACTGATCCTGAAAGTGCTTCATAAGCTCTTTCAAACGGTGCTAATAACAGGTTTCAGAATAATCTGTAACTATCCGAAAATTCAATGTTTCCAGCTTCCATACATTTGGTAAAGTTACATAATTTTAAAAACTACACAAGATATCGTAAAACTGGTTACTGATCCTAAAAGTGCTTCACGAGTTCTATCCAACGGTATCAATATCAAGTTACAGAATAAACTGGATCTATCCTAAAATTAAATGTTTCCGTCTTCCATACATTTTGTATTATCACAGTCATTGCACTCATCTCTTGATAATTTTATAGCAAGTAAAACCTAAAAGTAATGTATTTCACAAATAATTTTAAATAAGATGCAAGTTACAAGTTTATTTAACCGACTTTTTAAGTTTATTATTTAACAAAAAATAAATTACACTTCTAATATTGTGTCATCGCCATACATTTAGTATGGAAGCTGGAAACATTGAATTTTGGGGTAGTTCCAGTTTATTCTTTAACCTATTATTGATATCGTTTGAAAGAGCTTATGAAGCACTTTCAGGATCAGTAACCAGTTTTTCGATATCTTGTATAGTTTAGAAATAATCGAGTGAGATCACTTATCGTTTCCACCCTGTATATAAAAGAAATTCGTGTTAGTTACTTCGCTTATAACTCAAGAACGGCTGAACCGATTTAGCTGAAAATTGTCAGGGAGGTAGTTTAGAGCCAGGAGAAGGACATAGGATACTTTTTATCCCGTTCGAAATTAAAAAAAAGTCTGCTTATTTATTGCCATTAAGGCGGAACAAAGTTCGCCGGGTCAGCTAATATTTATCTATTTAAAACTTATAATGCATATAAAACACAGTATAGATCGTGCCATTCACGAAAACGCTCCCCACCAATTTTTGGTCGAGGGAAGCGCGGGATGCGGAGAGTTTGATCCGAACAATCCGAGCGTCATTGTTGTAGTGTGCGGTGTGCACTCATGGATAATTTAGCTTGTACCGATAACACTCAAACATTAGCGGAAGAATGGTGGGGCGCGTCTTCGTGGATGGCACGATCTATAAATACGGCGAACTTAATGCCATTTGGGATTCTTCTCTAGTTAACTTAAGGGCTTGAGACTTGAACTTTCAGTATTTTAAACCCTGTTAACAATTCCAGGTACGGTATTCTCCATCACGGTGTTCAGCAAATACCTCCAATGGCACGACTCGATGCTGGGCATCATCTCCACCGTCAGCAAGATTGCAGCTTCTTTCGTCTACTGCTTTGCTCCTAACGAGACAATCTTCTTCATTGGTAACCTTAATTTTTATATTTTACTATCTAAATAAATGGAGGGAAGTTAAACCTTAACTTCGAACTCCTCTTATGTTCTTCTGATTAATTTCGTTGCGGGTCCAATGACAGTTTAACTCTCCCCCGGGACAAACTTGACCTTCACTGGTTGGGTTTTTATTGGCGGTCAAGCTGTAGATCCTGGCTACACAGGAGTTGCAGCGGTGGGACCGAGAGGTGGGAATAGTATCTAAATAGAGTGAGATTTTGCTAAATAATAGGCATAAATTATCTAGTTAATTAGAAAAAGAGTGAAAATTGAAATTTAAAAAACAAAGATTAAATTTTAAAATCTGGTAAAATGTAAATCGCTATTTAATTTGCCGAAATATGGAGATCTTTTAATAGAGGAATAAAAAGACCTCAAAAGGTAAAATTGCATTTCTATTAATTGTGTTTTAATGAAAACACATCAACATTAAATGGAAGTAATTTAACCAAAAATTTTGAACTTTGATTAAAAGACTCTTTACTGTACTGATCCAAATCGAAAAAATCGAAGTTAACAAAAAACTGCGAGCTATAATATCAGAATAAATAGTCGCTTATTTGCGAATCTATACTAATATTATAAATGCGAAGGTAACTCTGTCTGTCTGCTTAAGCCTAAACCACTGAAACTATTTTGATGAAAGGCATAGAGATAGTTTGAGTCCCGGGAAAGGACATAGGATAGTTTTTATCCCGGTTTTTGAAACAGGGACGCACGCGATAAAGCTTTTCTGTGACAGACAAAATTCCACGCGGGCATAGCCGCGGGCGGAAAGCTAGTACTAAATAAATCTGGTAAATGGGTTTATGTATCAGTTAATACTTATTGTTAAGTTAGTAAAGATTAAAATAACGACTTAATAATGGGCACGACTATTTTATGGTTACGATTTTATTTAAATACAAGATAGTATTGCTTTGGAGACGTTTTTTGTTTGCGTATTATTAAGTAATTTAGTTACATGTAACTTACTTTACTCGATTTTGATTTTAGCCTACCTCCAATACAACCTTAGAAATCGTGTATAGTGTATAAAAAATATTAACGGATCAGGACCGGTTTACCGTTATTTATTTAATCTAGTAGTTACACTATATTTTACATATATACGAAGTCGACAGTTTACCTCGTGATTATCACTTATATGATCCCAAATAACACGGTTATTTACTTATCTGCACTATAATCAGGTTAAATTAGTGCCGCTTCATCGTGTAAAAGTATTATTCTAGTAATTTAAAGTAGTCCATAAAATATGATCACGTGTTGATTTTGTGTCGTAAAAAGTCATAAAACTTATAATGGTTACCTACAATGTTCGTTCGTTCGTTCGTTTCAGCCGAAAGACGTCCACAGCTGGACAAAGGCCTCCCTCAAGGTTTTCCACAAAGACAATGACAAAGGTTACAATATTATATCTTATTATTATTTTTGTTTTCAGGTCCAATGGTTGAAATACTGAATGGCACATCGATGTTAGCTTTGCGGTCGATATTCTCAAAGTTGGTAGCTGCAGATGAGATAGGTAATATTCTTTTTATACTTACAAACTAAGCAGCTGTGACAAAATAGGTATTTGGTTTGGCGTTATATTTGTCACTATTACGAAACCATCCTCAAATAAGTAGGTTACTTTATAGGCAACTAGCTTTTGCCCGCGACTTCACCCGCGTGAAATTTAGGTTGTCACAGATAGTCATAAATTATAGCCTATGTTATTCTGTACTGTAAAGTCTCATCAAAATCCGTTCAGTAGTTTTTGCGTGAAAGAGTAACAAACATCCAGACATCCACACAAACTTTCACGTTTATAATATTAGTAGGATCCAGTAAATGTTTCATATTTAGTTCCTCAAAAGATATGAAATATTATTTTTATAAAGCTACGATTTTATTACCGACGTTTGAAGTATCATAACATAATGTTATCATAATTGGATTATCTTAATCTCCATTGACAAAGCTGAAAATTATTATCGAAAACACAATTTACCACTAAGCCTTCATTGATAATTTTAATATAGATATAAATTTCAAAAAACATAACCTTCCTTCTGATCCAGTCGGGTAAAAATGTAAACCATTTTTGCTCTACTGCCATGGTTTCCCAGAATCCTCTTCCATTTTCCCATTAATTTATATTTTGTATGTGGGTATTGAGTATGATAATGTAGTTACACCATTGAGGAATACCTGCAACTGTTAAAATATTGAATACTGTATCAACATTTTTATTTTTTCTATATTTTTATGAGAAACGTGATTCCTCAAAAAACGTTCAGCTTTTGTTTCCGGAATTAAAGAGAGTTCAGGATAATTCATTATCAGATCATTCTGAGTAACAATTGTTTGCCAATATACGTCTTGATTCTAATCATCTTAATACTTACCTCCGCTTGATACTTGAGGGAAACAGGGCCGGATCTACCATATGCTATGGTACCAGGGCCCTGTGAATTCAAGGCCCCCAGCTAAGTCAAGTCAAAGTCAAAAATAGACGATAAGTATAGTAGGTGGGACCCTGAGTAATAATATTAGTCCAGGGCCCCCTAAACTCAGGGTCCGGCCGAAAGAAAGAAAAACGTCGATCCAAACTCCTTTTATACTCGTATTCTTCTAATTTCGGGGTTCGATGACCATTAACCGATAGGTACCCAAAACAAACTTGACCTTCGTTGATTCGGTTTTAACGACTTTGTCATCATATTGCTGACATAGTTAATCTTAATTACAGGAAAAGTGAACTCTATAATCGGTCTAACAGAGACCCTAATGCCGTTGGCGTATGTTCCTCTGTACACACAAGTGTACACAGCGACAATGGAAGTGCTGCCTGGTGCTGTGTTCCTACTAGGAGCAGCCATGACCTTACCAGCTGTAGTGGTGTTCATGTAAGATCATTTTGTTTTAAGTTAACTTTAGGCAGGGTACTCACCTGCCATGTAGCACGTAACGTAGCATGTAACGTGTCCAACCTTCAAGTGAGTACGGCTCGTCCACGGTCATCGTGTATCTAGCTGCGAGCTCCTGGATCCTACTGAGAGCCGCCTTTGTGCTCGCAGTGATACCGCCAGTCTACGGGTCGCTGCGATCTCCCTGCCAACCACGCGCGAGCGGGCTCGTGCCTATGTACTCACTTGATACAGTATCTGTTACATTAGATGCTACACGACTAGATGAGTACCCTGCTTTATAACTATGACCCTACATAGAATTATAGTTCTTATGTGAAATCAATGAAGGTGTGTGGTTCTGCCAGAGTAGAATAGAAACCCCCCTTCCCGTGAATGTCGTAAGAGGCGACTCAAGGACTAATATTTGAACATCAGACCTACCAAATCTGTCTGGTCAGTGTGGGGAGTGTAGGGCAAAACTCCCTTATGCCTCAGGTAGGTATATTGTAAGAATAGTCTATAAGTCAATGTCCAGTCAATTAGTTACATTCCGTAGATTCTAAGACATTTTAGTTCGCAAGACTGTCAATAGATGGCGTTGTGCTGACTTACATCGCGGTGTCGAAGTTTTAGGCGACCCATATATAAAGGTTTTGAACCACCGTTCACATTAACCATCCTACTTGTTACTAACCGATTGTGGTGACGTAATAAACCCGTCGTGTACTAAGTTTGGCTTTTATTTCTAAGCTAGTACACCCTCGATTCGACTTTGACCCAAGGGGGTTAAACATATATTAGAGAGGGTAGTGCTCTGACAGTAGAGACCAAATTGACCAAAAGTACCTGATGATGAAGTATAATAATTTTATTTTAGTAATCAAATAAAATTATAACGCAGAATGCTTCATCTACTATATAAAAATAAGTCGGGTTTTCCTCCCTGACGCTATAACTCCAGAACGCACGAACCGATTTCCACGGTTTTGCATTCGTTGGAAAGGTCTCGGGCTCCGTGAGGTTTATAGCAAAGAAAATTCGGGAAAAGGGGGTAAAACAGGATCCACGCGTACGAAGTCGCGGGCGGCCGCTAGTAATTTATAATTTACGATAATTGTAGGCTTTCGATTTTGACCTGAATATTTTATGGAGTTTAAAACTTCAGCATTAAATTTTGTTCATTTTAATTGGAAAATAACGATACGAATAATTTACCATCACGGCCATTTAATATCTTTCCATATAATTACAGATGGTTGTTCGTGGAGCATCGCAGGGGCTTAAGAAAAAAACCTGTAATAGAAAATGGCACTGAAGTTCCTCTCAAACAAATGTGAAAATTCTAGTCCAATTTAATATTAAGTTAACGAAATTTACTAGCTAGTTACAATATAAGTAGTAAGTTAAGGTTTAAACAATTGCTACTTAGGCACGCTCATTTCCAGTTGCTCGTGCACGTTTTATGAGTAGGTACCTGAACATCCGTTTTAGAAATTGATTCGATTGGTCGCATGACTACTGTTTTATGCCTTTGAATGATAGATGCCACATTGACTAGTAGCGGTTAGGTCCCTATTTGAGAAACATTGTTTATTTTCATGTTTGAAATAGTTTCTAATAACTATGAAATCAATAGGCTAGAGTCTAGACTAAACTTTTAACATTTACTTACATAAAATTGTGCAACCTTTTGGTTTGATAATTGTATTACTAAATAATAAGATTATTGGAACCCAACGTACTTAAGTAAGTAGTAACAATATTCTAGATAGCATTTAATATTAAATTGTTGTAGATACTTTTATAAAGTATCTAAGGATAGGATACTTGATTATTTTTGTATTTTTATAAATGGTGTACTGTGCTGCCTATAAGTAGGTAATACCACTATTTTGTGGTAATACACTGAGTCACTGACCTTTAACAGTTGTGTTGGGTTTATACATACCTCTTCTGTATATATTGATAATTTGTGAATGGTATTTTTAACGTTTTTTAAGTATAACATTACTTACTGTTCATAAACATTATTTTGTAAGTTTACTGCGACAAGTATTCATCAAAATATATCTGTAAAAAGCTGAATATTTATTTTGTATTTTCTCATTTGACTGGTATCAATGTATCAAGTTGTTCCTCTTCAGCCAGAATGAAATAGATAAAATTTAACCTGTTTAATACCTGCTCATAAACCAATATTTAATAGTTATTCTCTTAAACTTTAAATACAAATATCTCATCAAACTTGCGGCATGAAACATAGCCTTTCCAACTTTGCAGTTTAAGTTTGAGCACTCAAAGTAATTATGTCGGAACGCAGCAAAAACTTGGCATAATCCTACCACGGTCCACCCAATTAACAACCTAGAACACAGCTTATTGCTCGCACACAGGAAATTAACTCTTTCTTAAGCCCATCCTGATGGCTTTAGGGAACAATCTCGCCTGCACTTCCCAGGTCTCCCGCTCACGTTGTAGTCCGAGCTGGAATTTGAGCTTTAATAAAATTGATAAAGAGATCCTTTTGCTAAGTATCAGGAACTGCTGTTCAGTGTATTGCTGAAATACGACTGTTGTGCTGAAGATACCTATCGGATAGGGTTGTACATTTGAATGGTTCTCTAACTGCCGTACTGGGACCTTGAATTTAAGAAAGATGTAAGCATGTGTGAAAATAACATGTGTGCTGAAAGTTATTGGTGTTGTTATATACCTTCAGGATTTGGACCTATTAATAAAAACAAAATATGCTATTACTAAACTAAAATGAAGTCAAAGACTGTAAGAGGCAAAGGCTTTGGCCCTAAAAGGTCTCGGTGTCGGTGGGCTTGCTGAAGCCCTCTAGTCCTTAACTCCTTTATAGAACTGCCTCCTCTTGTGAAGAGGTAAGTTTTCACTCTCCATCGTGGTCAAACTGGTTAGACAACTGTTTATTTGAATTTTAGTGATGAGCAACAATTTTAGTTCACCCTAGTATCACTACGACCAGTATCAATCTTGAATTGAACTATTACCTACCTCTATAATATTACGATTTCATTCCAGCCAGGATTCGTGAAATTTCTATACTTTTATACGACAAGCTTGAATCAATTCTTTTTTAACGTATTATTCTTGTACTTATCTAAAAGTCAAGTTATTAACCACCTAACATTATCCAGTGTAACTTCTACCTCAACAGCCCTATCCGAATGGATTAGCTACAAACGCGCGGGTCTGGCGCACAGTGCTCATCCTTACAAACTGCATTCAAGTTTTACTATCGCCGGCGCTGCACTTGTACCTTAATACTTGGGATTTAGAACCTATTTACTTGTTTGTTGATCTGTTTAGTTCCCATCATTATAGTATGACTGAATTTATTCAATTGTTCGGTTGGAAATAGAATTATTTTAATTTACTTACAGGGATTTAAACTTCATTCATAGGCTTTTTTTAATCCCAATAAGCGATAGTCAATTATTCTTTTGCTTTTTTTATTAGATCAGCCCCCCTAGACAAAACGCACTTTTTGATCGAATCTAAAATCGAATCCGTCAAAACTCCATACAAAAAAGGGGCTTTTCGACCACTTTTCGACTGGTTTGCGAATATAATTTGCACTTTGTCTAGACCCACAGGTTTTATGAAAGAAGAAGTTGTTAAACCCATTTCTGAATATTTTCAATTTATTAAAAACAGAGCTGAATCTATTAAAATCGAAAGGATTTCGTGAAACTACAAGTGCTAGGAGATCTAAAATTTTGCATGGGGGTTTGATGATGAAATGATGCATTAGATGATAAAATGACAATTACATGACATGGATGTCAATGAAATCAGGAAAACAATGACTTAGCAGTTCAGAGATATTCAAAACAATCGTTAAAAATGCCTTCAAAATAACATTATACCAAGGTGAGTAAGTACCTAACTAATTATTCGTCTCCAGTTCATTAAAAATCTGAATTAAAATCCCATTCTACTTAATTCCCAAGCTGAACTTGCAAGAACAACACACAACAAACTCGTCGCAAATGACAACAAAACCGGGATGAAGGCACTTAGTGTAGAGGGTGCATACTTACGACAGCATAGACTCTTAATTTAATAACCAACTAACACTAATTTTGTAACTTTGCTTTGTAACTAAGTAATTGGAATGACAATGCAAATATCATGTTGATGTCATATTAATATTAACAGAAGTTACGAATGGATGATGGTATATTAGGGCAAACACTATAGATGTAATTTTAACAGTTGCATTTTTACAGAAAAAACTGTCTGCATCTTGTAAGTACTTGCAACCAATGATGGCTGAGTTAGTCTTGAAAAAAATAATAATGTGAAGAACAGGCCTAGTGCACTCTTTTGTACCTGTAAGAGGATTTCCAACGGCCACACACTGCTAAAAAGAAGATGCTTTCCAAAATGGGTTTGCCATTATTCATTACTTGACTTACTTGACTTAAGGTCCTATGTCCCCTAGATGGGGCAGAGGGCGTCCACAACAGTCCTCCATCTCGTTCAGTCTTGAGCTTCGCGCTTGATCTCGCTCCAAGTCTTGCCGATCTTCTTCGCCTCGTCCGCTACAGAGCCTGCTTAGGGATGTGATCGGGGTCCCTTCGGAGAGTGTGGCCAATCCAGTTCCACTTGCGGTGCTTGATCTGCTGGTCGATCGAAATTTCGTGGCAGCTTTCCAATAGCTCGACGTTTTCATTACAAGCTCTGCTTATTTTATAACAATTACGAGCACATAGAAAATACATCAACTAGAAAAAATCTATAGAACCAAAGCCGCGGGAAAACTGTAGTTCCCTATAACGACGTCTAAACCTTGTATAAAACATCTCGTCCACAAAGCGGTAAGAACCATGGACCGAGACCACTCGGAGAGTGCAGCGGACGGGGTGCATAATATTTGCGTTAGTTTTTCCACATCTTGAACCCGCCCGGACTTCATCAAAGGACCTTAATATAATAAGAGAAATGGCCACGACCCACTTTGACTGAGACTGTAGATCAAGGATGTTATGGATATCCGTAACCGTAACTGAAACTTTCGGATATCCGAAATAAAAAGGTATCCGAAACTGTAACCGAAACCTATTCAAAAGTTTCGTATAGTTTCGGATGTAGGCAGTTTAAATTGTATAGCATTATATGTAAATTTATAGAATGTAAATTACAAGTAAAGGCATAACAGCCTGATTTACCTTTTTATTCGATGTAAAGTGTGCGGCCATGAATGAACCGTGTTGGACAACTATTGCAAATTGCATTCTAAAGCACAGATATCCGTAACCGTAACCGAAACTTTCGGATATCCGAAATAAAAAAATATCCGTAACCGTAACCGAAACCGGTATAATATTATTCCTATATCCGTAACCGTATCCATAACCGAAACTACATATCCATAACATCCCTAGTGTAGATAAGTTCGGAACAAGCTGCTTTTCCATGAGAGCGCATTTTAAAAGGTCACTAGTAACGTGTTAAGAAACTTTGAATCGCACAGCAGAAATAGTGGCAGCTCTAAAACAAGCCGTACCTGTATTATTATAGAGATAAAAAAAATATTAAGGCTGAGTTGTACCACCTAACTTTGACCGTGACTTTGACGATAACCGGTGTTTTTTGTATGGAGTTTGACAGATTGTTGACGTTTGTCAAAATTAAAGTAAGATGGTGCAACCCAGCCTAAAAGATTAAAAGATCATTTAAAGATTTAGAGATATAAAACCTACCTATTAAAATAGAGAAACTTGGGTCTTAATTCGACATATTTATAGGGGTTACATATTTACTCACGGCTTGAGTAAGTTATAAAGTCGTAAAACATAAATTACATTTACCACTCAAGCACAAGTTTTCATATAAAAAGATTACAACAACGTAATCTTAAAACAAAAGAATTATGATAGTAAAACTTTTATAAAAGTGCCGTTACTTTGAAACATAGCTATTAAGCTGGTTACAACGCTTTTCAAGCTAGGAATCCACCAAAGCACCCTTTCTATACACCGTTTACAGCTCGGTTAAAAATGTAAAACGTTTGAAATTATGCATACAATTTCGTAGCAAAAGTAACATTACTTTTAGTCGCAAATTGGTGGTAAAGCAGCCCAATTCTCTGTTTGTAGACCTCAATCGTTTAGCGAAGAATCAGATACATAGCTGGCTTTCTTGACTGTTGCTCGGTACCACACCTCTCGTCCTACAATAACTCTCTTGTGAACCTTGCACATATTTATTTACAAATATCAGACATTTATGGAGGACTAGCGGCCGCCCGCGTCTTCATATGCGTGGATCTCGTTTTACCCCCTTAGGGGTGGAGTTTCTTAAAATCCTTTCTTAGCGGATGCCAACATCATAAGATCTATAGTCTGGTCTGTGAGCACGTAGAATTTTGTCCAATGACCCCAAGCTACCCATCCTTATCGCTCGCGCGTAAATTCTACGTGCTCACAGACCGGGCTTTACCTGCATGCCAAATTTCAGCCCGATCCGTCCAGTGGTTTGGGCTGTGCGTTGATAGATCACTATATCAGTCAGTCAGCTACCTTTGAATTATGTATATTTAGATTCCGCCTACACTCCCTTTTCTAGCCAGACGGGTAAATTGAAGGGGGGGGGGGTTCTATTTCGCATCACAGCCAAAATACATTATTACCTCGCTCGCTTACCACTTTTTACGAAAGCTGTTAAAAAATTATAACTTTTTCTCGCTTAGCGCTTAGTTACGTAGCAGAGCTTTGGTGGAAGCTTAGCTTTAAAGTGATTCCTTTGCGTGCACTAAAGTTATCAAAAGCTTCATTTTGGTGGCCATTATACGAATGAATGTCGTTTAAGGTTCACTATTTCGACCAGAATTGCTATTGTTAATGTTTTTATAGAGCTTTTATACCACTGGGCTAAAGAGATAGTTTAACTTTTAGTAGGTTAATGTGACATGGAATTCTGTGCCTTCCTTGCGGTCTAAACTGAAAGTGATTTTGGCGGTTTTTATGGTTTCGCTTTACTTATAATACTTATAATCTACATATACTTATAATAAATCTGTAGAGAGGTCAATTCTGTACATGAAATATATTTTC